AGAACGTTTGGTAGGTTGAAATCCATCTTTTTGCTTCAAACTCCATATCCATTTCTGTTTTAGATTAGGATCTTTTGGAAAGCTGAACACAGATACTTTTGGACCATGTTTGTATCTACCCCAACAAGTTGCAATGCAACACTTGTCTGGCATGACTCAGCAAAATGTGCGAGCAATAAATGCTTTATACTTCTTAAACTAAAAACAAACTTCTGAGCCTTTCCTAGACTTTTGTCCAACTGTCCTATGGAAGAAGGAAGGAAAATCCTGAAAAGCAAAAAAAATAACAGGAAACTAAAAGCTGATGGCAGCTAACTTCAAAGTCTCCAGCATGTGGTTTTGTTAAACATAAGCAAGAAGGATGACTACCAGTGACATGAGACCCACATGACTGTCGAACTTCGATTTTCTTTGTAGGATGTGTTGGATGAAAGTCCACCAAAAATCTCTTTTTCTCTTGTTTATGCCCTTCTATTTTCCAAGTTATGTGCAGTAACCTGTATGTATACGATCTTCTGTTGAAATGTTTTCTTGAAAAAAGGATCAAAGAACATTACTACACAGTAAACAAAAATATGAACAGAACAAAACTAGCAGTTTATGCCAACAGAAGGAATATAGGTTGTAAAATTATAGAGTTATTTTATTACTTTCTTGGCTCTGTCATATTTTCCCTCTGTTATATATAACAATCAATCAAAAATAACCCTTAAGATTTTTATATTTTTGTATTCAGGACCTTGAAATGTTGAGAAATGCAGAAAAAAAATTCAGGGGTTTGTGTGTTCATTTTGTACAATTTCTTTGAAATGTAATAATTCCCTTGGAAAATTTCTGAAATTTTGCAGGGAGGTTTGTGTATTAATGGGATCATTATTAAATTTAACCTTTATTTAAATTTAAAAACCTTTATTAAATTTTGATGGTTAAAGGTCAATGGAGTGGGGAGATAAAGGGGGGTGGTGTGTCATATCTCGAGTAGGGTTGGACTTAAAGATAATTTTACTTGTTAAGCATTTACAATTTTGTATAAAACTGATCCTTAACTTCAAAATTAAGCTTTTTGCTATTTTATAATAATCAAAAATATAAGAAGTTTTTTGAAATAAAATATAACAGATGACATGCTACAAACTCAGTTTTAAATGTTGTCAGGAAAGTTAAGTAACTCATTGCTGGAGATTTTATTTTTAATCTATACATATAAAATATATCCAAAACAGTATTTTTAGTTACATGTCATCTTTTCACATTATTTTAAATTATTTCTGATTGGTTTATGCTAAATTTTAAAATTTATATGGTATTTCATTCTTTTCAACATTCAATAGTTATATGTTTGATTCTGTTAAATCATTTGATTTTTTTAAGTTATTATAATTAAGATCTATAAAATATAGATCAAACTTTTTAATTTGTTAAATTTCTTTGCTAGATAAAAAGGTTGTTTTCTGTTATTTTTGGTTATCCTCATCCAGTTTCTACATATATTATGTTAACAATAAAAAATGGTACTGTAATAACATTTTGAGTAGAATAGATTTTCTTTTCTGAGTAAGCAAAGGCAGATTTCAACTCTGTAAAGAAATTCAAACATCTGGTTTTAGCACACCATTTTACTGTATACAGAAATCTTCTCAATGTACATGCTGGGTGAAGCAATCTTATCTTCTATAGGTCTCATCTATGTGCCTTCCTTGTACACCTTAGCAAATGCAAAGATGAGATAATAGGAGCTGAAAAGGAGGCTTTTTGCATATGGAGGACTCTAGCCAGAGATGTGTTAATGAAATGTCCAGAGTCCTACATTTCATTAATTGATTCAAAATTTATAAAATGTTGATTTCTATAGCTAATATTTCTACAAAAAAAGTAGCCTATATTTTCTGTCAGGGTATAAAACAAAAACAGTAAAGCATTGATTATCTGAATCAATTGGGGACTGGGGTTGTTCGGAAAATCGATATTTCGGATAACCGATTATGTATGAAAAAATATATTAACCTATCCCATGTTGAAATTTTTCTTTGTTGCATGTCGCTTCGTGTTGAATTTTCGTCAATGTTAAGCCTAGCATAAACTTTTTAAAATAATAATCGTGACTATTGTATTGTTAAACATTATTTCTTTATTTTGTACAAACAAAATAAATATATTGAAAAATATAAAAACAATAAAAAATTATACTTCAGAAGTTAATTTAGTATCAAAAACATAAAATATTTGAGTAGCCCAAGACATAGCCAAAGATTGCAGTGCCATAGCACTGGTGAAAATTTAAATTTGCCGACTGGAATTCTTTCAGATAATTGACTTTTGGATAATCGACACTCTACTGTATAACCAAAATTTTATCTGGATTGGACAAAAATTGTGAGTTATAAGGAAATGACATGCACACACGCGCGTGCACGCGCAATAGCTTTTTATATTAGTAATTATTTATTTTATTATTATTGTTTAATAGTATGAATTGGGCCATTTATATTTCAAATATGTGAGTTTTGAATATATTATTTCATTTATTCTAAGGAAATTTAAAGTTAGAAAATTGTTTCAAAATGAATGATTAGGACAAAATTTTTAAAGATGAGCTTTGGCTAACTACATACATGTATTCAGTAACTTGTTACAAACATACAAATTTATAAAATTGTTTGTTCAGTTTTGCAGATTGTAGAGATGAATGTTAACTTTTTTTGCTCCATTTTTTTATGTAATTAATTAAAACACTTTTTGCCTGTTTTGTTTATTATTAAACAAGTTTAATCTATAATGAAAACTGTAATGTCAAATATCCTGTTTTTAATAATTTTTCTAACATTCATATTGACCTAAAATGAACTTCTGTATTTCAAATACAGTAGAATCCCGAAAACTTGGCCTAATGTGGACTGAAGGGTGGTCAAGAAAAATACTGGGTTATTGGGAATGGGGTTAAAAGAATAAGTACAAGTGTTTCCTCAGAAAATACTGTACTTGTATGTACAGTAGACCCCCCCTATAACGCTTAGATACATTCCACGTTAATCGAATTTTACGTTGTAGGAATGATTAAATACATGAGCCAATCGCAGCCCAATGGGTGTGAAGTTTATGGACTAAGGCTGTTTGAAAGGTTTTCTTCTATAAAATTAACCGATTCTAGACTAATTCCATTCAACATTTCCAAAACACGTATAATTTTTTGGGAATAATCTGTATAAACTATGCTATAAACAAAAAAATTATAGGATTACTTACTGAGTGTATACCGTTTGACTACGCCGTTGCTCAAAGCTTGTTTTCGTCGCGGAACAGCACACGAAATGCTGGCCGCGATTTCTGATAAATAATTTTTTGCAGAAAAATAACTTGACCTTTGGAGACATCATTAATATAAATAATTTTTATGGCCGTTGAATAAGAAGTGTTTCTTTCACAAGAAATGTATAAAATTAGTGCTGTATTAGACTTACGGTACCTAATTTACATACTGTACAGACGATAATAAACTCAACTTACTAGCCTAAAATCTCCGTAGCGTGTTGCCAGGCGGCAGAAAGCATATATATAATTATAATAAAGTTACAATAAATTAAGTTAATATATAATTATATATACAGTACCTAATTTATATATAATTAGTATATAATTATATGTACAGTACCTAATTTATATATAATACTGTACAGACGATAGCAAACTCAATTTAGCCGCCTAAACTCTCCGTAGCGTGGCGCAGGGCGGAGGAAAGTAGTTCGGCTGCTTATTCACTATTGGTTTAGATTCTATCAATCTTGTTGCAAAACAAGTCAGCGACGACGTTTTGGGAGCTCCTTTAAACGAATGTTGCTGCAATTTTTTCGCTACGTTATAGGAATTTCCGTTATAGGAACGCACGTTATAGGGGGGTCGACTGTATTGTATACTTGAGAATACAACAGAGAATAAACTGCCTAAATACCCTTAATCAAAGGAAAAGTACATACTTTATAAAGGCACAGAGCCTTTACTACATGAAAATGAAAATTAATGAATACACAGTGTACAGTAATTTACCTGATAAGACAGACCTCAGAAAAATACTTTATGAGGCATGAAGCTGTCTATAATGAAAATTAACTAGCCGACTTTGCAAAAACTGGCTACTTTTTTTAAAAGAATCCTATTGTCCTCCGCAATGTACTCTGCGTTTTGCTGCTTCATCATGAAGATGACGAAGGAACAGTAAGTCCATTACCGACGCACTTTGTTGTTCAAAATACTGAAGGGCATTTTTGACAGCCTTTAGTCCCTCAATATGTGATATTTTAGGAGCTTGTACGGTGGAGTCCTCAACGTCTTCATCATTTTCTGGCATTTTTTCATTAACTGTGACAGCAGCAATAATTTCTGCATCGGACATAATGTCTTGCTCGGTATCGTTCTGGAACCACTGTTCGACGTCATTTTCATCAGCTTCTGCACATCCAGGAACTCTTTTCAGCAGGTCAAGTAAGTTTACATTTTCTGCATCATCATGTTCAACGAATTCATTTTCCTCATGATCAAGGAGTTTTTGCCCGGAACTAACTAGTGTTAATGACTAACTCGTTCCAGGTATTTGCCACCCAGTCAACAACATCCAATAAGTTAATTTTCTTTTAAGTTCTGGATATGACTTTGACCATCATTGTTTGGAGAAAGAAGGGAGGATAACAGCTTGCGCTGAGTTATCCGGACTGCCAGGTTATCAAGTGCCAAGTTTTCGGGACTCTACTGTACTAGCAGAAATAATTAAAACTTAAATAAACAGTTTGTTAAATATTGGATATAAATGTACTTTTTTCTTTATACAAAAAATCATTATTTTTAAAAATTTATTGATTAGAAACTAAATTTATGTATTACATAACTTTTGAACAATCATATTGTTTTGATCTGATTAATATAATTTTGATTATAAAGAATATATAATTTATCACAAAATTTTTATTTATTTATAATAGCTGATAATGATTTATTTACTTTCTTTTCAGATTATTTCAAAACTTAATAAAGACAGAATAGAAAATATTGATGAAGCAGTTCATACCCTTATTGCAGTTTGGACTGCTGTTGCTACAGTACCTGAGAATTTAACTAATGCTGTTAATATATTTCATTCCTTATTTCGGTAGGTAAAAGAAATTTGTTTTAAAGAAATTATATTAATAAACATACACATATACATAATGCTGCAGCATGATACTAAATGTATTAACACTTTCATGTTATAACTAACAAGGGGAGACTCGGAAATGTATTTCATGGATTTTAATGAGCTTTTGCATGGTTATTTTGGGACAATAAAAAGTATCCCTTATAGTCATAAATTCCATTTCTACATTTTAATTGAGAGTATTTTGATCAAAAATCATGAATTTGACATTGGGTTTGTTTGTAATTAGAGATGGAAGTGTTGTCTTTTAAGGTTAAGGTAGGAAAACTTTATTACTTTAAAGGGAGATTAGCAGTAGAGCCTGTGCTGAATATTACACTAGATGTAAACAAATTGCAAAATTTTTTATTACACTGTAAACAGAAGCTTCCATTCTTCTTGTCAATGATTCAAATGGCAATGTTTTTGTTTTATTTTATTCAGAATAATATTTTCTTTAAATATAACAACCAATTTTGTTAGAACTAATTATTTGAATTTAATTTTTTCTGCACTGAGTCATGCATTATCCAAAACAAAGTATCTTAAATTCAAAAAGTAATGTCACTCGAAATATTACAGAAAGTATTAAAAGTTTTTGCTGATTGTTTAACAAAGAGTATTTTCTATGTTAGAAATGAATCGATAAAAGAAATAATACATAACTGTCAAAAATTTGACAAGCAATTGCATGTTGTTGACTATAAATTAATGATTTATAACTTAAAAAGTTATAAGAACTTTTTCAAATAAATGCATTTATCATGATGCCTTAATAACACTGTTTTAAAATGAGCAAAAATTTAAAATTCTAAAGTTCTCTACTATCAAAATTCATTTTTTCATTTTTGTCGTGCTCTGTTATGTGCAGCATTATTACACTTACTGTATTGCATTATTGCATGCAATACAGCACTCTTATTTAAAATTAATTGAAACTTGTTTTTGTTATGCACTAATGAAGAAATACCAGAGAATATGTGGAATGATATTTTTGTAAGAATAAATTTATTTTAAATTGCTGCTATTGTTGAGTCACTCATTCAAAGTTACAAGTACAATGCCTATGCATTTATCCAGAGATGGGTTCTCTACACCATCCCTGGATAAATGCAGTGGTTCCCAAAGTGGATGCTACCACTCCTCTGTGGGATGTAAGTAAATCTAGGGAAATGAAAAGAAGCAAGTAGACAGCAAGGGGCACTGAAAGTAGGCTACTGACAGAACAATGACTATAGATGAGTGTTGGTGTTGCTGACAACCTTACTTTTTTTCTCTACTAAAACGGATTTTGTTCAACATATGACGAAGTTGCATGGATCAAATGGACAAATATTCATTAGTTTCTTTCATATTTGCACAATAGGCTAGAAGTCACAAATTTTATTGTTTAGATCTATGGTTCTTAACCTGTGGTCCCTGAAAGCACCCGAAATGGTCCGTGAAGTTATTCCAAAATTATTAAATAAATGATGACGAGTTGATGTCAATGCGCGGTATGTCAAGGTTAGAGCCGATAGCGGACTGGGCTGGGGTATGGTGTGTGGTCAGGAAATATGAAATTGGAAGGCACTAGCAATAAATTTGCATTTGAAGATAAAATCAGTGCGTTTATCACTAAAATTGACCCATGGATCAGCAAAGTCGAAAGAGAGAATTTTTCTGCGTTTGATACATTGAATCCAATTATTGATTGACAGTCTGCCGAGATTAAAGGAGAAATACAAAAGAACATTACATTCCATTTGCAAAGCTTGAAAAATGAATTTAATCACTATTTTCCTGACTGCAAGGACAAAGGTATTCAGAAACTGATTTGCAATCCTTTCATAGTCAACATTTCTGAGGTGCTGGATGAAATGCAAGAGTAGTTAATTAAAATGTAACATGATAGTAACTGCAAGGATACATTCGAGACAGGAATTAATCTTAAAGATTTTTGGATCCAAAAGCTATTGCTTTCCCTAAAATTCGAGAAATTGCTTTACAGTAACTAACTTTATTTTTAACCACATATTTATGCGAGCAAGGATTCTCAGTGCTTTTGATAATTAAAAATAAACATTGAAATTGGTTGGATGCTAGTGCCGACATGTGTTTTGCTTTGAGTAGCACTGAACCAAGAATTCAGCAATTGGTAAACAGTATGCAGTCACAAAAATTGTACTAAAATAATATAATTAATGTAACACTTTCACAAATAATATAATACTCTTGGTTCCGAATAATTTTCTACGTGTTTAATTTATAGAACAACCTTATAAGAACCTATATTACTGCCAAACAGCTCATGGTCCATGGCAAGACAAAAATTTTGATAAATGGTTCCTCATCACTAAAATGTTAAGAAACACTGGTTTAGACCATCTTGGAGATTAGGATTAGTGCAACCAAGATGAAAAAGTCAGGCACACGCCCCAAATTAGTTTTATTTTCAGATACATTAATACATGTATCTAATTATATAGAAATTATTTTAAAACTATAAACTACATTTTTTACATTTTAAAATAGTTTTAAAGTATTAAAATGTGGTTAGCATATTGTAAACTATTTCTATTTTATTACTTTTAGTGAAACATCCCTAACTATTTTATCAGGAAGATGGATTCGTGTAACTTCCTCTCAGAAACGTCAAATGGCAAAGGTTTTAACCAAATCGAGTCAAGTATTTGGTCCTCTTGTTGATAAAGCTGCACGGTTATGTACTGTTCTTGTCATGGCAGTGTATGATCCTTGGGGAGAACCAGCATTAAATCAATTGATAGAAGGTCAAATTGATTATTCTGATGCAACAGGTAAATTTTTTTTATTTAAAAAATTCAAAAGTTTTTTATTTATATTTCTGTAAAATAGAAGTTAAAAATATTTTTATTTATTAAATTTCTTTGTTGGATAAAAAATGTTTTGCTATTTTTTTATTTAAATGAAAAAATCCAGTTTTAAAATTTAAAAAACTCCAAAAAATTCCAAATTATACAATATGCATATATGAGGACATCAGACTTGATACAGAGGCATATCGAAGGAAGTGCTTATGGTGCTGCAGTACTCCTTAATTGGTGATATGGAAAGAAATATTGTGAAGCAGGGAAATCACCATAAAATAAGTTCTTGCATGATAGGAACATCCTCTAATGCAAGTTAGGATGTTAATATGTTTATTAGAAGCTTAATATAAAGTACAATACATAATAAATCAGGAGTTAGTCTATCCATTTTTACTGAGTCCATCTCCACTAACAACAAATTTGCTTCCAATTCCAACAATCCTGCATTTTTTTTCAATGCTTATTCCTTTATATATAAAGGAATAAGCATTTATATATATATACAGTGGGTGATCGGTTAACGAACAGTTTGGATAGCGAACAAATTGTATAATGAACACTTTCATGAAAGATTTTTATGATTGGACAACAAACACATGTTTGGATAACAAACACTTTACCAAACAAACATAAAAAGAAGTGACGGAAAATAACAAATACCAATTGATTTTTCCTTGTCTTCAGGTAACAATTCAAACCCTACAGAGCACCAGAGGCGTCAACATTGACACTCAACCCGATACCGATCAGATAGTATCCCTCCAAATTTTGAAACTCTCCCTTGTAATTCCAGCTTTTTCTTTACCTTTCTGACAAATAATTTTTTATAGTCTTCACGAGACTGTCGGATGGGCACTCGTTAAGTTTTGCGTCAGGGTTTATCTATGAAAGGTGAAAGTTTAACTGTCCCATCAGATATTTGTTAACGTTTTAATACCAAATTTCGAATTTCATCTGGGCCTTGCATTTAAATAATTTTTTGTGGGCTAGTTGATTTCTGTTCTCTGAATTTTCATAAGTGCTTTTTTGATCTTTTTATTTAAAAAAGAAACTGATAATATTATGGAGCTTAAAAAGAGGAGTGTCAAGAACTGTGCTCACCGTAGAAACCAAGTAAGAGATAATAGCCAAGGTAGGAAATGGGCACAAGATGTCTGATGTCACTAGGCAGTATGGCAGTAGGCACAATCTTAGCTATGAAAGATATATCAATAAGTTTCAAGCTGCTAATGGAGTAATGAAAATCACATCTGAGAAATAAAGAGCATTTTAGAGCTCATAATGAAACCTGAAATGGATCTGATGACAGAAGAA